AAAATTTCCCTCATGCCCGTCTTCATTAGCCCAGTTAGGAGCAAAACAGTAGGACGTTAAACCCCATTTCATTTCATTTCATTTCCCATTTCATCTCATCTCATCTCTCTCTCTCTCTCCCTCTCTCTCCCTCTCTCCGTTTTCATTGGCCCAATCGGAGCAGAACAATAGGATATTACAACAGAAAAATAATTTATGCAAGTAGTATACCTAAACTGATAGAGAACGTTTTTCAGTGCTGCTTCTATTAATTTCGCATTGTATCAAGGTTGCCAAATGGTCGTTAAATGGATGACATCAAGGAGGAAGATGGCTACAGTGTAAGGGAGATAACTATTATTTAATTGACAACGTTATCAGACCGCGATATATTAATGGTTCATCCATCGGGATCTATAAATAAATAAGACCGATAGATGCGCCCTACTCTTATTTCGAATACGAACTGTATAGGGTTCGTTTACGAGCACGCCAACGAGTACGCGGCATTTTGTTCGTTTGACACATCGAAGGACAGGGCGCTATCCTTCGCCAGATTCTCCTTCCTTTTCCACTGACAAGGTGGCGCGCGTGAAACCGTTCGACCGCCCAACCCCGTCATATATATAATAAAATGAATATCAATGTCCTTTACAACGACGCAACAGAAAAAAATAACCGGATAGTTTTGATGGATAACACTTGGCATCGGACATATCAGGGCTTGTCTCACTAAGTAGTGCAAGGTCTTCCGAAAAGAGTAATGGGGCAATGTTTCATAGCGAATTGAACTGAAATGGGGTTTAACGTCCTATTGCTCTGCTCCTATACTGGGCTCGTAAAGACGGGCATATGCCATGCAGTGTGCCCGGACAGCGGTGCTATGGCCTACCCTTATTTCGAATTCCAACTGTCAAGGGTTCTTTTACGTGCACGCCAATATGTACACGGGACCTCGTTATTTCGTCACAGCCGAACGACTACACGTTGTTCCTTGTCAACCCCTCCGTCCTACATCCCTGACAAGGGGGAATCACACCGGAAAATCACGATGCACATTCTCAGCCAACGCAGGGATCGAACACGGGACCTCCAGGTTAGTGAGCCAACATCTTACACACTGAGCCACCGTGGATCATGTTACGTAGAGACAAAGAATGTAAAATTGAAGCAACATTATTGTTAAGCAATTCTTGGTGGCTTTAAATATGTTCCTTTAGGATACAAACGTGGCGTACTGTTTTACAGGAGATATAAGCATACCCGGCCTCGTGTACGACATCCGAGTCAACTGACAAGGGTACAATATTCCAGAAGAAATGGCAACTACATCGGTTAAGACAATGAAATGTACTAAACAAACAGTAGTTCCTGCTGACTTCGCGCCCCCATCTTTTCTAATGAACCGCGAATTGTTATTTTATTTGCATCTGAAAAATCGAAGATGTGAAATAATTCATTCTTTGAATGGCATTTAGTAATTGGAACATTATCAAATAAAAGACTATTTATGGATAACAATTGCTATGGATTATTTAACTGCGACGTTTCAACAAGATTTCACAAGTCGTTGTCAAGCCATCCTCGGTTACCCAGTGTACTCATTCCGTTCTACTCCACTATACCCTGGGTTAATCTATGGGGGAGACACGTTTTCAAGTTATCCGCCCTTGATGATTGTGCTATTTTTATTGACCAATCCCATAAATTGTTATTTGAAAAGGAAGTTGGCAAAGGTAAGTAAATCTCATCGGACAATGTTAGGAGTTGGCCTATTCAAAATGCGTAATTATTAACAACCAATTATATATTATGTTAATGAAGACCAGACGTTCATATAATATTGTAGGGTCATTAGTTTTATTTAGAATCGTTCGTTCGTTCCCGGAATTTTATGTCCATGTGATATCGTAAACAAGTTATTGTAAACCAAATTGCCAAGTATAAGTTCAATAATAATAAACATAACAGAATGACATATTTCAGACAAAGAACGAATAGTAATAATAATAAAAAAAATTCAAACATATAGATGTTATACATATTTGAAATTAACAACACATACTACAGATTTTGATAATACAATTAAATATAAATAAATTATAAATATATACATTATTTACATAAATCATTCAGTAAGTGGACATGAATATGGTTATCTACCCTTATAAAAACGAAGACGAAACGATTGGTTTGTAAACTGTTTTCTGATTGGTTCGTAGACTGTAGCTACATTCTAGGCCAGGGTAGATAATTTGAAACCGTGGAAACCCTATGGATTAACCCAGGGTATAGTGGAGTAGAACGGAATGAGTACACTGGGTAACCGAGGATGTTATCAAGCACACAACAACACAAATACATTTACTTATTTGATTAATTATGGTTCACGACTACATCACCTTTTTAATAAAATACTTAAATGTATTTGTGTTGTTGTATGCTTGATAATAACTTGTGAGATATTGTTAAAACGTCGCAGTGTAATAAACTACAGTTATTTTATCCATAAATAGTGTTTTATTTGAAATATATAATAACATAATATATTTTTCATATTTGTGGTCTGCATCCCAATGCTGTATTTGGAGTTATTTCCCTTTACATCAAAATCATTAGCAAATCCTTGAAGAGATGGAAATCTACAATTCATATTAAAAAAACAACAATAAATTAATGATAAACACTTAATTTCAACTCATTACGCGTAAAATATTATTAAAATCTCAATAATTTATTGAAACGTTGCAGTTAATAAACCTAGTGAATGTTATCCATAAAACTGTCTGTTATTATAATATTATCAGTATTGTTTATTGGAGTTATTTCCCTTGGATTAACATTGGAATAATGGCAATCTGTATCATAGAGGTAATGCGAAAGCCGTCTTGTAACTCTGTGTAATATGACTGATCTTTAGAAGTTCATATTATTATGCATTCTATGTGTGACGTCAATCATTGGCTTCAATAGCGCGTGCATTGTTTACATAAGACGTAGTAAAGTAAACTGATCAGGACAGAATTGTGACTTTTACTCATTTTACGCCTTCGCGTTTTATTTTATATACCCATTTACATGAAATAGAAAATAGTTTATTTATTTTTCTAATACTTAAAAACAATGTTTTAGAATTTAATTTGCAGAAGGAAAAAAGTTAATATATTGTGAATTAATTAACTGGCACCGATGTCATCCCTCTCAGTAATTGTAGCGGCCTAGCGAATATTCACTGCTTATTAGTTTAGAATAAAATGTGTAGTGAATGGTAAGCGCCTGCGCGATGTATGATGATCTGCCATGAGTCAACTGGCGAGGTTTCGATTCCCCGGTTGTACGTGACATGGAGTAGGGTCGCCTGTCCAACCTCGTGGGTTTTCTTTTGATCCTCTGGTTCCTACCCACTGCTAAAGACCCAACGCGCAAGCGAATTATTGAAAAAACATATTGAACCATATATAAGTCCCGAAATGACCAAGGTTGTGTCGAGAGGACGTTAAACCCCATTCTCTCTCTCTCTCTCTCTCCATGCACAAATCGATTCAAAAGATACTATAAAAGTTCGACAATAGATCATGCAAAATTAATTTATTGAAAATTTAATTCAAATTTCTCCATTGCGAGCAAATATATTAGATTTTGAAGGTTTGACAAGATGTGTGCAACCACCGCACTGGCTGTTCGTAGCTTAGCCTCGCTTCGCCACTTTTAGATTAAATCAAAATATAGCTGACAGTTCTAATTTACTTAATATCGGAGATTACCGATGACATCGAGAGTTGATTATGGTCTTGTCATGTTAATAAAAGTCATATTAATAGTAACATTTCAGGCCTTAAGAAAGGCCTGCAATAGGCAGATTTAGCAACTAACAGACAGAGAAATGTGTCGGCGATGAATTTGCATAAAATGTCAATGGATGCTTTGAGATGAGTTCAGGGTTTAATTGATTTAGGCACTAGTTCAACAATCATGTGTTCCCAGGATTTCATTTTTCCACTGTCAGTGGTACAGGACGGAATTGCATGGCAGGGAACGTCATCTAGTCGTCCGGGTTGGACGAAAACACGTTGTAAACAAAACCCTTGACAGATGGAATTCCATTAATAGTAGGCTACACTGCATAACTTATGTCCGTTTTCCTTAACTCGGTCGTTGCAGAATAGGAAGCAAACAAAAACGTAACTGATGAATAAAAAACCTCAACATTGGTTCTAAGTACGCATCTTGCATAAAGTTTAACGGAAGATGGTGTACATTAGTATTATAGAACGGTTCCAAGGTCCAGATTGGAACCGTATCTAGAACGGAAAGCTTTTGTACTCGGAACAGTTCCGTCTGTTGTTGTCAAATGGAAAGGGCAATAGACTAGAATGTCCACGGTCGAATGCTGGTGACTGCCAAGAAAAATCCTGTTAGGAATAGCTGTGGAAATGCTGTTGTCAGGGAAAAATTCTCCTCCTACATGTTGCACTTAGACCCTACATGTTGGACATGTTAAACCCCATTCCATTTGATACCAAAATGTTGTTGTTTTTTTCTCATACGTATATAGCCAAACTTTTCGGCGATAGTCTTTGCATTATATTATCGTCAGTGAATAGGACACTGGCCCACTAACTTAGCTGTCCCGGGTTCGAATCTAATGTTGGTCAAGACAAGTTCTCGGGATTTTACAGCCTGCCCCCCCTCCCCTCCTGTCAGTCAGAACGTGTGAAGTCATGGCATGAGCCCTTGGGGATCAACCTAGCTTAAAAGCGTACCAATTTTCTCTTATATGATATCAATGCATGCATATCTAGTATCATCAGAATATAAGTCAGTAAGGTTGACACCCCTCTTCCCTGGGCTTCCGCTCTATTGGCGTGTAGGTGAAAGAAGCCTTGGTAGTTGGATTTGAAAATGAGTAGATGGTAACGCCACTGTCCTGACAAAATGTCCCACATAGCACACACCATTGTACTTAACCGTCTTCATTAACCTGGTTGTCTTTGCATGTATAAATAATCAACAATCAAATATTTTTAACTATTGAAGGATTTATTATATTATTATGAATGGTCAATAAATATTGAAATATGAATGATGAGGAAATAACAAACATTTTCTATAACTAATTACATGTATATATATATTAGTATTGAACTCAGTTTCAACCTGTCAATCATCATCACCATGACGATATTACACGCGCATGATGACGAGGGTTGTCAAGCAGTAAAAGATAACAACATGCATGAAATAATTTGTTAAGTAATTATATAAATAAAATTCGCTGGATTGAATCGGAGTACATTTTGGACACGGGAAGGTCTAAAATAACAATAAAGTGAAGGTGAACTACATCTTGTCAAAAGGTTGTGTGTGAAAGTATTTTGAAAGTTGAATCTCTTATAAAAGAAATGTCAGTCCAAAAATGGTTTAATTTAGTAAGATTTAAATGGATTGAAAATTTCGCAAAATTTGACATCTTAGGCACACGGTGTAAGCAAGCCAGGGTCACCTATATAAGCAACCGGCGAAATCTTTTGATTGGCCCCTCTTTAACCCGATTGAATCCCAGTCGGAAGATTATCTACAATTGAGAATGGATGAAGTCGTGAAGAATTACACATGATCTGAAAAATGCGGTATCGGAATTGATGATTATATAAAAAAAAATAACAAATTAAACGAAAAAATATCAGTATCACTAACAAATAGATTGAATGAATAAATGACTACCATAAAAAGAAGACTATTGAAAACATAGGACTATAGAGGAAGGCGATATAGCACAAGAGGTCAAAGGTTACATAATATCACAGACAAAAAAACATTAATTAAATAATCCACTAGCACCGGGTGTGAAATTCCTTAACACATAAATAAAATTGGGGATTATGCAAATTAACTAATTCATAAAGAAATCTAATATCACAAAAGTCAAGTGTCAATCAAATGATGACCTCACCAGTAGGCCTACGTCATCCGACACACTCATTCTCAAGCACGTTGCCATTATGTCACAGAACATTTTTCTATCAAAGTGATACAAATATTGTTGGCATTTTAAGTCAATCAAAGTTTGAACAAAGTTCATTGAGAATTTTTACCGTCTATCAGCGTTCCCTGGTGTTATATAAGATAACAATGGTCTCTTTATCCAGCTCCCTTTTAAAAAATGATGGTGTCATTTCTAATCAATCAACTTTTCTATTGAAACGCGATTAAAGGGATAGCTGTGAAGATTCAATCTGTCAGATGACATGGAATTATCCGACATTTTCGCATTACGTAATGTGCTTAGCCAAATTAAGCAATTGTTAGTGTATTTCATCGAAAAGTATTTGTACGAAATTTGCACAACGTAACTTTGGAATTTTGTCTTTTATGGGTTGGGACACGACTGTTTAGACAAAACTGTCACTTCCTTTAAAACCGTTCCATTACGTCACACATATATCGGTTGTAAGTTATTTAAAGGAACTCGCGGGGGAAGTTTCGGCGGTTTTTCATCTTCCTCAATATCGATTTTGCTTTGACTATTTTCACTCGACCAGCTATTTCTCAACAATCCCATGTTCACCAGTTTATTTTCAATTTCCAGAGATTCAGAAAGTTTTGCTCTCGTCTGTCGGTTACTCAATAAACAGTAAATATTTTCACGACGTTTCGGTTCGGGTTGTTGTATTCCATCAATAAAATTCAACATGTCTCCATACGACCATTTTGTCACCTCGGGATCCTGCATTGAACTGATGCGACAATAGGTTTCGGGAAAGTCATAATCACCAAATGGACCAATTTTCATCGTCGGAATAAACACGTTCTCTTTATTGGACGAATCAAAGAGTTTTTGTCGCGTTTTAATTGGAGGTGTGTAAAGTCCGTCTGTTTTATTCACTTGTTTGTTGTTAATATTTACTTTTGCGTACAATTCATCAACAGACGAACACTCAACACGTGCAGACGACACAGAATCTGGATTATCTCCCTTTGGCTTTAAGTAACTTCTCACGGGAAGAGCTGGTGGATCTTCCCTGTACACTTGTCTTGGACGTCGAAGATCTTTCGGACCGACCGGATTTACGATCTGATTAGTGGCCAACATTTGATAATATCTTTGCGGACTAAAAACGTTTTCATCTCCAGGGATAACGTCATAAATATGTTCGTAGTCACTGTCATACCTGCCTCTCGGCGATTTTACACACCCAGGATTATGAACGTTCCGCATGACTTGCTTCATATTATCAATTGGGGAATCTCCTACGCACTTCTTATAGTCATGACTAAGATTTGTCTTTATTTCCTCCAGGGAACATTTGTTATGAATATTACAGTTGTTTGTAGATTGAACACGACTCATCATTTTCGACGCAAGTCCTAAAGCCGGAGATCTTTTCGGCGTATTCCTGACCTCTGGAACTTCACCGTCATCTCCCGAGGGAGATTTTACGGACAAATCACACGGTGCCAACTGAGACCATGATGAATTAGATTTATTATCCGTGGTCATGTTTACAGGCGATGTTTTTGGTTTACACAAGCTATCACGACTAATGTCTAACCTGTATCGCTTACTCCTGCGAACACCGTTATTTCCAACGAAAAGTCTATCACTCTGTTGTTCACAATCCCGTGATTCCTCGACCCCATCACGATGTCTCTCTAAATCTAAGCTAAAGTTCGATCTCGTCTTAATGTTCACATTTTTAACACTATCATGACCAAGTCCTAAGCTAGCTGTCGACCCACGTTTCTCGTTATTTAAGAGATATTTTGAAAAATATATCTTAGTTTTTTCTAGTCTCTGCTTATCCGTATCCATAACGTGTCTTTCCCGATCAGCCATATCCAAACTATATCGATGATTTTCATTAATAAACACTAATTTATCTACTCCTGTGCTCTCGGACCTTGACCGTTCAAGATTATCATATCCATCAAATGACTCCTCTAGAGTAATCGGTTCATCTCCGCTAGCTGTCAGCTGATTAGAAGGCCGTGGGGCAGGTTTTTCAAGCCTCGAAGCACATTTTTCTGGTTCTTCTGTGGGTCTGTGATCGGCTTCAGATTGAGAAAAATAATCAGTGTGACTGTCATCGAGTTGTTTATTGTTTAAAGTTTCCAATGTTTTAGAAAATACTTTCTCCATATCTGATGGCCACGGTGGGGAGTAATCACTTTCATATCCACTAGATATTGTCACTGGCGAGAGCTGCTTTTCGTATGAATCAGTCGAAAATCGTTGTAGTTTTTCCTTCAACTCCTCATGTGTCAAACCACGCATTAGCTTGTCGTCTGCTTGATTTGTGGCGCGAATCATATTACTGTTCATTAATGACGCGGGTAGCGGTGACAGAGTGACATAATCATCTACAGGGAAATACATACACTGTCGTTTCATCATTGTCTTTTTATCCATCCTGTTCAATTTATGATGAGCGATCCAGTCGCGACGAGGACCGTTCACAACTGTCGTCTGCTTCAAACTACCACGTGAATCTATATCCCCTTCCCATCTGTCGGCACGAGCGGGTTTGTTGGTTGAAATTCCTCCGCTAACATTGACCATCTGTTTGTTTACAGTGGGACTTTTGATGCACGAGTCGGCACATCGAGCAGTGTCTTTGTCCTGTAACTTGCTATAAGCGATGGGTTTTAGTCGATATGGACTGTTGCCTCGACGTCTTGCGGTAGTAGCTAAGTTATTACTGTTGAAACTGTAGGGGTGATGGGAGGGCGGAGCTTGGCCATAATGAGATGATCTGCTGTGATTGGCGATTTGGCTAATTTGACTGTTCAGTGTAGATGAATTAGGGGCTTCAACGGTTGTTTTTCGATCTTTGTTCTTTTTGCTCATTCGGTTTGTTCTGTGTTTTCCGCTTTTTATTGTTACGCTATCTATTGACCAGGCCGTGGCGTCATTAAGGCCTGCTTGATGATTTTTACCTTGCTCACATGTGTCGGAGATTGATATGCTGTTAATTAATTCCGGCTCATTATCTTTTTGACATTGAAAGTTTAATCTGCTAAATGAATCAGTTTGTCGGCCATCATTTTCTCCATTTCCACTAACGCCTCCTTCAGCATCCCTCGGGTGGTGTAGAGTTGGACACCGACTGAACCCGTCCATCATGTCTCGGGTTAAATCAGTAGAGTTCTTATCCAACAATTCAAATCTGAGACCAATTCCGGGGATAAGATAATCATCCATGTCTTCTGATGAAAAATTGGCCATCTGGTTTTCTTTATGTTGCGTTGCAGCGACGTAATCTTCATACGTCACATGGAGTGACCACATCTGTTGAATCAATCCGCTGCTAAGATTTCTCAAATCAGCCTGAAAGGAATAAAAGTATGAATTAAAAACACGGATCATAAATCTGTCATCAAATTGTCCAAAGTGTTAGAATAAATGGGGGTTAAATTATGCATGGTGTCTTGCAAAACTAATTTCATTCGGATACACAAATCAAACATAATTAACAAATTGGTTAATTTACGATTATTGTCTCGCGTGTCAGAAGTAATAAACGAATTATGGGCAGAATTCCAAATTTACTGTGTTCTAAAAAAATTGAAATTCTCGAAAAGAATGCTGTTAATTAGCATAACAATAAACATGTCATATTCGGTTTAGGATTAGAATTCGTCTAATTAAGAGTGATTGTTTAGATAATATTTTCAGTATTACTCTTTCAAATGTGTTCATGAATATGGCTCAACATCAGTTATTTGGAAATGAAATGGAGTTTAAGGTCCTACTTTTTCTGCACCGACTGGGCTAATGAAGACTGGTAATTATTTTGAAACCATTGGTAACCAAGAAGCACGAATTCTATTTCGGTGATTTCTGTTACCGAATAATGACATGTTCAAGAACCTAATTAGGCAGTGAATATACAGTGACAAATTAGGGTTACATCATGAATAGGGTTGGAACCATTAACGATGTATAATTCACGTGTAGCCCTTGTAACATTACCGCTGTATCTTCTATAATGTTACCAAAGTTCATAAGATTTTATGAGTCAGAATGGTCATATTATTGGACTTGATTATAAACACCTATGTTTAATGGTCTCACATGACGAACTTACTGAGATTAACAAGCACATTACACGTGTATGATCTACACTTTGAAGTGGGCATAACAACGTCGTTATACTTGAAGAACGTGTAATTGGCTTAACATTGACCTTTGTATTAACAATGATCTATATAACCATGGAGAACAAAACTCCAAATTCTCTTTGTTCTAACAAATATTTGCTCAACAGTTTATCAGGATGAACAGATATTTGATATTCTTTTGTCCAAATTAAAATATTGATATACACATGTTCTAAATTCATCAACTTATAGCAATGAACTTATAGCCGGAACTCCCAAACTCTTGGTCCTAACAAAATATATGTAGATAAACTTTTATTTGATATTCTTGTGCCCAGTTTAAAATATTGATATACACATGTTTTAAATTCATCGAATTATCTAACTTGTATCCATGAACTTATAGCCTGAACTCCCGAATCTCTTTGTCCTAAATATGTAGATAAACTTGTATTTGAACAACAGTTGATCAGAATTAAGAGATATTTGATATTCTTGTGTCCAGTTTCAAATGTTGATATAAACATGTTCTAAATTCATCAAATTATCTAACTTATAGCCATGAGGTACGGAACTCCCAAATACATATGTAGTTTATTAGAATGGATGGATACATTTGATATTCTTTAGTCTAATTTAAATATATCGATATCCAAGTTCTTAACTCGTCAAACTTTTCAATTTATAACAATAAGGTACAAAACTCCAAATATTTGCATAAATGTTTAGCAAAAAGGCATTCTGAAACTAATAAATATTGTAGATTTCATTTTAATACATCGATACGCAGGGTCTAAAAATTTCTCTTCAAATCGTCCAACTTATAACCATGAGGTACACAATCTCGTCTTCCTAACACATAGTTGCATAATCGTTTATCAGAAAGACATGAAACGATTAGATATTGTAGAGTCCATTTTAGTATATCTATACACAAAATTTTCCAACTTTTGTTCCTCAAAATTGATGAATTACAAACTACATGTCCATTTCAATCAGTAAAAACTGTGAACACCTCACCAGGTTTAACAATACATTAGTTCCACCATGTCCAGGCTGATATGACTGATGTTCATTAATCATACAGATACATGAAGCTAAATCGATTTATTGACTGTGATATATCACGATATCGTTTGATAATAGATAGAATACAATAGGCTGCAATGTCGCTCCTTGTATAATCCCGCTATGGTGTATCAGCTTGATGAATTATTAACATCTACATACCTGTCATTGATTGCTTATAGTTTAACTATATTGGAGGTAATTGTATTGTTTTGTGTGTTATTGTTCTCCGTGGAATACATGTTTCTAATGGTTTTGCTGTGGTGATAAATATGAGGGACGTCAATAAGTAACAATACAGGTGCTTGATTGCATGGTATAGAAACAAACCAATGGTGCTGCAGATCTGATAAAAACAAATTTGTCGATATTCTGAATTGTTATACACAGGTCAGAATTCTATGGAATACAATTACTGCTTATTACTGAGCGATGTGTCGATTCTCAAGCAATGACCAATACAAAACCCTATTACTGAGTGATTTGCTTTTCTAGCCTGTATCAAGCAATGATAGTTTTTAGATGATTGAACGAATTAGATTTGTACATACACTCGATACAATTACTGCTTATTACTGCGCGATATTTCTACTAGACTTTCTAAAAATTGAATATAATATTAAAACACAAATTTATATGGAAAACAATCACTGGGTTTATTTCACACTACTGAAACGTAGTGTGAAATAAACTCAGTGATTGTTTTCCATATAAATTTGTGTTTTATATCATTAGACTTTCTAGTCTTTATCAAGCAATGATCAATACGAAACACTATTACTGAGTGCCATTTGGACCAAGCTTTTCTAGTATGAATCAAGCAATGACAGTTTTTAGATGATTTGACCGAATTTTAAGAAGATTAAGATTTCTACATACACTCGACACGTAACGGCTTATGATAAGTATTAATCTCCCCCTTTTAAAACATGTAATTAATGTTATATGATTTCATGACATAACCTTTCAAGTATATGTATTAATAGACAATCAGTACAACATGCGTGAATTAATATAAGCCATTGACAATGTATGTACTTAATATGAATCTTATCTGAATACATTATTTAAATCGTGTACCTTCTTAATTAAAATGGTCGTGCCAAACCTTAAATTTCAACTGTCTAATAAATTTAATCACCATTATCCGAAAGACTGGATTACAAAGTCAACTAAAGTTTATCTTTGATTTTTTTTTCACTATTGAGATCATAAATAATGAAAAAAAAATAAAGTGTATCTATTGTCGTGAAATATATTCGACCACGTGACCAGATAGATGTGTAATTAGTGAAACCAGGCATATGCATGATTGATTCGCCCGGAGCCATCAATCCTGGGGCAGAATAAGTTTCAATGGTGATAAATAAATAAATACTATCTGCATAATTGAAGGAAATATTAATCTTCGAGGCAATAATTGAGTGACACGGACAGACAAATGAAAGATAAATAGAGCTAAGGGAATTATTACTGCGACATATGGTGACTGACAAAAATAAAGTATCCGAGGAATTTGTGCATGGTATATAAATGAATTGATTTTTTTTATATATCTTGAATCTACGCCTCATCAAACCTATAATGGTAACAGACCATGTGTAAAATCTATTTGGTTTTAATAACGAAGCTATAGATCTATATACACTGAAGGCAGGGGTTAAAATAATTTGAAGACATAAAAGTTGGAAATGTAGAAAAGGGTGTTACTTTATTGAGATATTATTTCAATCTGACCTTTGTCTAGTGTAGGCAGGGGTTAAAATAATTTGAAGATATAAAAGTTGGAAATGTAGAAAAGGATTGCAATATTTAATTTTAACGCTTTTTTTTTCTTTTTTTTTTTTAATTTTCAAAGTCTGATACCTGCAAAAGTAGAAAGGTTTGTAACTTTATTGAGATATTTATTGCACGTTTAATTTTAAGATTTAATTATTTTTTTTTTCCCCCGCCCCCCCCCCAAAAAAAAATAATAATTAAATAAACATGAAGTATCAGGGTTTTGTGTACGTAAGAAAATATCCATACAAAGAGAAATTTAATATCACTCACATTTATAAATCATTGGGTATGGAACACGAGTAACTTCAAGATGTTACCACCCTTGTATGTCTGTCTGTTTATTAAGTGTTTCATTTTAAGTACAAAAGTATTAATTATGTCAAAATGGTTTTACATTATACACGGCTATAAAGCAGGAGATATATGGGATATACAATTTACTCAGACAACAAACTCATCAACCATGAAATAGAAATAGATGGGTTGATTAGTCGACAAGATGGAGTACGATTTCGCGCCAAATTTACCAGAAAATTTTAAATAACGAGTAATAACTGAATTGTTCAGACCGATGAACGACATTAAAGCAGAAAGGTGAAGCAACAGAGATTGGTTAAGGGTATTTTTATGAATGAATGATTGAGTGAATGAATGAATGAAATGGGGTTTAACGTCCTACTTTTCTGCACCTATAACCGGGATAACGAAGATGAATATACGCCACACAGTGTGCTATAGAAATAATTTTGACCGGACAGCAACTGTTTCCAAATCCTAAAATTCAGTAGAATAATATTTACATCAAAAAAGTGTCAAGGATCTTGTACATGGGACCTCTGTATCATCCGAACGACTAGGCCTTGTTTGAAATGAAATGAAATGAGGTTTAACGCCCTACTGATCTGCTCCGACTGGGCATACAGCATACAGTGTGCTACGAGGGAAATTTTACCCCGACAGTGGCACTATGGCCTACTCTTACATCGAATTCCAACTGCCAAGGGCTGCTTTACGTGCACGCCAATGTGTACACGGGACCGCGGTTTTTGTACCATCCGAACGGCTATATAGACAGCTGTCCTTGCCAGGACCTCCGTCCTGAACCACTGACAAAGGGATACCACGCCAGAAAATCCCGATGAACTTCCTCGGCCATCACCGGGATGCAACCCGTGACCGCGCGGTTAACGAGCCAGCGTCTGACTCACTTAGCCACCGTGGCTCCCCGGGTAAGAAGAACCATGCAGGAAAATCCATATGGTTTATATATCATAAAATTAAAACTGAGTTCCACACATGTATCATAAAATTGTAACGAAGCAAATCTTTGTAGCAGAATGATTTACGACGAGTGGAACATGGTGAAATGATTACCAA